TCTGAACAACACGGGTTTGAGCTGCAAGGCCCGTGTATACTTGTATCTTTTTTTAATGTCCCTTCGTATCCCTGGGTTTCACATCCACAGATTCAACCAACTTCTGAACAAAAACAGTATTTTCTCATTCCCCAATGGCAGATTCCTAACTGTGGATGGAAAATACTGTTTTCAATCCTCAATTGGTTGAATCCCTGAGTGCAAAGTGCCAACAAGATTTCCTACCGTGCAGGGGTCAGTTCCCCTAATTTCTGAGTTCTTCACAGGTAAACTGTACATACAAAGCCAAATTCTGACCAACGGTCAAAATTGATAATCTGGTTTTTGGTTTTTCTTAATCCTCACCTGAGGATATTTTTCCATTGATTTTTCAGAGAGAGTGGAAGGGAGAGGAAGAGACAGAGAGAAAGAAATATCAATATGAGAGAGACACATCAATTGTTGCCTCCCACATGCAACCTGACCAGGGTCGGGAGCCTGCAACCCAGGTACATGCCCTTGACTAGAATCGAACTGGGGACCCTTCAGTCATCGGGCTGATGCTCTATCCACTGAGACAAACCAGCTAGGGCAACGGTATTATTATTATTATTATTAATATTATTATTATTATTATTATTATTATTACTAAATTCCTTCAATAAGCACTTCAATTCATTTATCCCCACTGACTTGAAATAGGGTATTTCTGAAGGAAGCTCTTACTTTTTTTTTTTCAAATGACTTAAAAGAAAAGCAAGCAAAAATAGTCTTTACAGGCAGAAAAAATGGGCTGGTGGGTTCCTTTCCAGGCCCATTTGAAACTACAGAAATTTGACAACAGCGCCATCTAATGGAAGATTAGAAGGTTAAACAAAAACAAAAAAACATATTTCTTTCAAATTTGTTTTAGCAGCAGCTTCTCCTAAACACCTTTTTATCAGCTTTGGATGTCCCCGTTATTTATGTCACCTTAAAGTTATAATTTTTAAAAAATATTTTATTGATTTTTTACAGAGAGGAAGAGGGAGGGATAGAGAGTTAGAAACATCGATGAGAGAGAATCATCTATCTGCTACCTCTTGCACATCCCCTACTGGGGATGTGCCCTCAACCAAGGTACATGCCCTTGACCGGAATCGAACCTGGGACCTTTCAGTCCGCAGGCCGACGCTCTATCCAATGAGCCAAACCAGTTTCGGCTTAAAGTTTTAATTGATAGCAGGAATATACCATTGATGTAAAAAAAAAAAATGTATATGAAAATAGTATAAAAATATTGAAAACTTCCCTATTTATTTCTCTAGACATATATACATATACATTAATGAACAAATACATAAACATCTCTATATATTTATATGTGTGTATACATATACTTTATAAATAAATGGGCGCTGTTATATATTTTCAGCAACATGGTGGGGTTTTTTGCTTATCATGAACATATTTCCATTTAAATACAGAGAACTACCTTGTTCATTTGTTTTTTAATCTTTAAAAAAATTGTTATTGATTCAGAGAGGAAAGGAGAGGAAGAGATAGAAACATTAATGATGAGAGATAATCATTGATTGGCTGCCTCCTACACAACCCACACTGGGGATCGAGCCTGCAACCTAGGCATGTGCCTTGATCAGGAATTGAACCATGACCTCCTGGTTCATAGTTTGTAGTTCAACCACTGAGCTACTCCTACTCCAGCTGGACTTCCTCATTTTTTGTTTTAAATGGCTTCAAAACATCTCATCATGTGCGGAATTTCTTTTCAGGTTAATAAAAATTTTCTAAAACTAGATTGTGTTGATGGAACTATATACTTTAAGTTTTATGGCATGTGAATTATATCTCAAAAAAGCTGTTTATCAAAAAGCACAGATATCAAAAAAAAATTCCCCATTGTAAGATCTCCCATAATTTAAGTTACTAGTTCCCAATTGATGGGCACTTTGCAGTTTTTCATGATTATAAGCAAAACTGGATGGATGCCCTATGCCTAACGTTGCATCCCTGTCGAGGGGAGATTCTAGGGCTACACAATCCAGCTCTGGATATGCATGCAGGAATTCACTGGTGTGGTAGAAGCCACTTCAAATTTCTTCCAAGAATATAGGGTTGTAATTTGCTAAAGTACATTTTCTGTTGCAGATGGACTGGTGTTCCCCTCAGTGACCATGGATACAGGAGGAGAGAAAGCTGGTTTAGTCTTCTAAAGAGAAGTACCATAGTTGGGGTGGTGATGGAATATATTAAAAATTTTTTGATCCATGAATTAAGTTACATATCTATATAACTCTACTGGTTGTTAAATATTTTAATAACTAGTGGCCCAGTGCACAAAATTCGTGTCCGGAGGGGTTCTCTCTCAGTCCTGCCTGACCCTCTCCAGTCTGGGACCCCTCAGACATCCCTCTCGAAATCCAGGACCACTGGCTCCTAACTGTTCGACCTGCCTGCCTGCCTGATCATCCCTAACCACTCTACCTGCCGGCCTTCTTGCCCCCCTGCCAACCTGATCATCCCCAACTTCCCCCCCACCAGCCTGCTCGCCCCCAACTGCTCCCCCTGCTGGCCTGATTGCCCCCAACTGTCCCCCCTGTTGGCCTGCTCACCTCAACTGCTCTCCTCTCCTGGCCTGATCACCTCTAACCGCCTTTGCCTCAGGGCCCTGCCACCATGGCTTTGTCCGGAAGGTCTCCCGGTCTAATTAGTATATTACCCTTTTATTGTATAGATACTTCTGGCCCTAGCTGGCTTGGTTCAGTAGATAGAGCGTTGGCCTGCGGACTGAAGGATCCTGGGTTAGATTCCACTCAAGGGCACTTGCCCAGGTTTTGGGCTCAATCCCCAGTAGGGGGCGTGCAGGAGGAAGCCAATCAATGATTTGTCTCATTGATGTTTCTATCTCTCTCTGATAGAAACATCACCTCATTGATGTTTCCCTTCTTCTCTGAAATCAATAAAAATATTGATTTAAATAATAATAATAATAATAATAATAATACTTCTGTATACCTTATAGCAGTTTTATAGGGATTAGAATTATAGGTATTACACAAAGACAATGTAAGATCTGCGTGAGGCTTAGACAACAGGAAGGAATATAGTACCTTTCCTGTTTGTATGACTATATTTATTGTTATTACAATCTTACCAATATGGTGAGTTACGGTGGACCACGAGAAAGTGTGTTTGCCATCATTTGGGTCCCCAGGGATGTGCCCCATCCATGTACAAACTTTGTTTTTTTCCATTTCCGCTGTCACTTCTGACTTATTGTGTAACTTTTAACAAATTACGTCCCCTTTCCTGGGGCCTCACTGAAGTGCTCCTAGCAACGTTTACAAACAGCTGCAAGTTGCACTTCCTCTGGTTTCCTCTGCTATAGTTGTGTCTAAGCTGTGGTCTGAGAGCTTCCTGCCTCAGCTGAAAGGTTCCAGACACACAAATGCCCCAGCCATGTCAGCTTTTCTGAAAGACCCCAGTCTTCTCAGGCACAATGGCTTTCAGGGCCCAGCCCCACCCTCTGCTCAGCACAGATGGATGAGATGCTGGCTGGTAAAGTATCAAGAATAAAACCTCCAACTCCCTTAGCAGAAACTCTGGCATTCCCAGGGTCATCTTACCAGAGATCAAATTTGTGGGGTTCTTTCCCTTCCTTTTGTGAAAGAAATTGCCACTAATATCACAATGTGAAAATCACCATCTATCACTGAGTGCTGTCTTTCTTAGGAGAGTTGGTGCCCAGTAGTAAATTTGACTGTCAGAAGGAAATTAGGGCCTTTTGCAAACTGAGGGCTACATGAGAGGATTTGCTTCCAGACAGGAGTGGGCAGCCAGGGAGGAAAGAGGAGGGGCAGCAGCTGGCCCGCCTCCGTTCAGACCCCAGTGGTGGCTATCACCATCGTTGATAGTAGAGGTTGGAGAATGTCCTAGAACAGGGGTGGGAAACCTTTCTTCTGCCGAGGGTCATTTGGATATTTATAACATCATTCACGAGCCAAACAAAATTATCAACTTAAAAATGAGCCTGGTATATTTGGTCAAACATGTAATTAACTTACCCCTAATACCTGGGCAGGGCCAAACCAAATGATTTTTTGGGTCTTATGTAGCCCTCGGGTCGGACGTTCCCCACCCCTATCCTAGAACAACCCATACCCGGGCAGGGACCTGGCTTCCCCACAGAGAGGGCACCTGGCCACAGGAACGTGCGAGACCTACAAGGCCAACCCTGGCTGACAACAAGAACCAGTAGCCCGAGTGGCCCAGTCACAGTTCTCTCCACTTGGGAAGCCCCTCAGCACTTCCCAGGCCCCACTTCAGAGTGGCGACACCAGAATATGTGGTTTTATCTGTGTACACTTCACAGAGCCAGGAGAATTCTGCATCAGGTAGAAGTGAACCACAGTATATTCTGTGATGTAATTTAGAGACTCTGAGACAGCTGAGGCTCTTGTTAAAATTTAGAGTCCCAGGTTTCACCCCCAGTAAGTGTGGAATAGGGCCTAGGAATCTACATTTCACAAAATCAGGCATTTCTTTTTTTTTTTTTTAATATATTTTATTGATTTTGTACAGAGAGGAAGGGAGAGATAGAGAGTTAGAAACATCGATGAGAGAGAGTCATCGATCAGCTGCCTCTTGCACACCCCCTACCGGGGATATGCCCGCAACCAAGGTACATGCCCTTGACCGGAATCGAACCCGGGACCTTTCAGTCACCAAGCCGACGCTCTATCCATTGAGCCAAACCAGTCCCGGAAAAATCAGGCATTTCTGATGCCTTGCTTGTGTATGTCTGCTCTAGACACTCAATATTTATTTCCCAAGGCTAAAGCAAACTTCCATTAAGTTCCTTTTGTTATAGGCCAAATCCAAAGAGAGATGATCAGGTGGGTTTTCAAAAGACAACAGTCATATTTTTATTCCTCTCCCCCCACCCCCCAACCCCAACTCCCACAAGCACACAGTTCAACTTCTCTTCCAACCTGAGTTGGCCCAACTTCCCACATCTCTCTCTCTTCTTACAAGAAGTCATTAACACGTGTTGAACAAACCAACCAGTCGTATTATGCCAAGCTTACGCAGGCAACTGTGAACTCTATAAGTTAGTCTAAAAGAAAGAAGTTCTCTAAGTGACTCACCACTATGGTGCCACCACACCTCCTTTGGCTTCTTCTCCAATTTCACTCCAGAGAATGCGGAGCCATATGAACAGACAAAGGCATTTTTCTTCTGTCACATCTAAAGCTTGCATCTCAAAACCAAACTGTGATGTGGAAAAAAAGTTTTTTTTGGTTTCTTTTCTCTCTTTTGACTCTAAAAGCAGAACTGGATTCTGAGACAATGAAAAAAACAAACAGTAAGTTTCATTTACTTCTCTCTCTTGTACTAAAACAGTCTTCACCAAAACAGTGGATGGTCAGCTTTAAACATGATCTTTCATGAATAAGTTTTTCGATGCTTTTAGATGAATAACCAGAGTAAAGTCTTTTCTATTACCTGCTGTTTAAAATGAAGTGATTTTAGGGAGGGGGTTGGAGTATCTTTCCTGAGACTGAGAGATAAATTATTGTTAATTGTTAGGCATGATAACGGTAATTGTTATGTTCACAAAAGGGTCCATATCTTTTAGCGATTCAAACTACCAATATCCTCCAGCCAAAGATCACCAGGGATACCCATGTAGTTGAACAAAGTTGGGTTTGGGGAGAAAATGTATACCAAGAAAATCATGGGATCTCTCAGTAGGAGGATGATAGAAAGGTCTTATGATAAGATTTAGATCTGTATTAGGTGGTTTGGAGGAAGATTCAAAGCAGCAGTCTCTACTCTGGATTGGATCCAATTAGAAAATGGAAATAATGATATAATTAGGTATATTAGTAATTCTGATCTATGTCCAGACATGGTTATGGAGTTGTCTCTTTTTTGTCTTGATCCATCATGGTCATAGAGTGGCCTTGGTATTGGTTTTTTAGCTGTGAGTGACAGGTCAGTTCCTAGCCAGGCCAGTCCCCAACAGTCAGGGGCTATTTTTCTCTTTCTCAATACTGAAATTTATGGATGCAATAACATGCGGTCTGGTATTTTCTTTAAAATAATGGAAAGGGGTGGGAGGCAGATGAAGTAGGATGGACCATGAGTTGATCGTTATTGAAGCTGGGTGATAGGTCCATGGAAGATCATTGTACTCTCTTCTACTATTATTTTGAAAGTTCTTATTTTCCAAAATAAGAAATTTTAAATAAATAATGGACAAAACTAGCTACCAGACATAAAAGTTGGTTATAGAACCTAGAACTTTAATATTTCTAAGTCAGCATAGCCATGTTTATTGGGTCCACTTCAGGCTCTTACTGGCCAGAGAGATAGCAAGCACAAAAAGGCTTGTCGAGGCCACCATCTCTCATTGGGTGGGGCCTCTGTAGGCCCTGAGACTTCCTCACACACTGATCAGCCAGGCTGTGTAGGCAAGAAACGCCCTCTTAGGAAAGTTTGCCAAGAGCATTATCTCCACCACTTTGATTCACAAAATGTGGCCAATTATTATCAAGGGACATTAACAAGAACTTTCTCTTATGTTATGTTGTTTTCCAGAATGCACGTCTCCAAGTTTGTACTCAGAAACAAATATAGTCGTAAAGGGTCAAAATGTATCTCTAAGTTGTTCCCACCAGAACCAATCACTAAAAATCACCTTGTTTCGGGAGAAGAACTGCATAGGAACCATCCAGGAGAGCAAAGGAAAACCCGTGATTTTTAACCTAAGCATCTCAGAAGCCCGTGATTTGGGGCCCTACAAATGCAAAGCTGTATTTTCCAACTGTACAACCTACAGTCCCGAGTTCAACTTCACAATTGTGGGTAAGAAGAACACTCATTACACAGGGCCCTGTGATGTGTAGGGCCCTCTTCTATTCTATAATGGTCTCTCTTCCCCTTGCAAGCACTCACTTGAGAGCCTGAAAAGTATGTCACTGAGACCTTTATTCTTAACTAGAAGCCGTGTGCATGAATTTGTGCACAGGTGGGGTCCAGCCGGCCCTCCCCAATTGGGGCAATTGGGTGGGGCCGGTGGGAGGGAGGGGCTGAGGGTTGGTCAGTTGGCCCCGCCTCCCAATCAAACTCCCAGTCAAGGGGATAATTTGCATATTAGCCTTTTACTATATAGGATAATTCCACTTCACTTTCTCCCCAAAGACTTTTTGGCTATTTCAGATGATAATAGGCTGGTTATCTAAGACAAAAAGTCTTACATCAATGATTTGGAAAGTTGTTGAAATCTTTTCTAGAGGCTTTACTCTAGGATGACCATCAGCTAGGCAAAAATTACTTCTTTCTCTGCAGATTAGAGCGAGAAGTCTGAGAATCAATGTTGGGCCTGGTGGCAAAGGATCTCCAAAGCCCCAGGCTTTGCCCACCTCTTCCCTTTGCAATGACCACCCACCAGCCCATGTTCTTCCTGCCCAACCACATCCTATTGATTCTATATATTTCTCTCCCATATCCCACCCTAAGCCTCTCACAACCTGGCATTAATGGGCTCCTCTATAAAGGTGACCTTGATAATAAACTCCCGGGAGAGAGGGTTTCCAGGTAATACATGTACAGTGTGCCTGGATTCTTCTAAACATAGATGCTCTGATACTGGCAAAACCTTGGAGCGGTTCCCTAGATCTATATTCTCCATTATGGCAGCCATCAGTCACACATGGCAATTTAAATTTAATATTTAATCAAAATTAGATGGGATAAAAAAACATAGTCCCTCAGTCTCCTTAGTCACATTTCAGGTGTTCAGTAGCCATAGGTGGCTGCCATATTAGACACCACAGACACAGAACATTTCTATCATTACAGAATGTTCTATTGGACACCTCTGCTCTAGGTCAGTGGTTCTTAGCTTTTTAGATTATAGCCGTTTTAACAATCTAATGATAGGGCGGTCACTGGCCTTTCCCAATGGTTGCAATCTTCTTGACTTCTCAGGAAGGGTGTCCATCATCTCTGGGACCACATCGGGGAATAGAGTAGGGTTTTGATCCACATTTATGGACTGGGTGAGTGAACCCAATCTGTATCCCTGTAACATGCGCTTTCATTTTTCTAGACCCAGTGACCACTCCAGTGCTGAAAATTGTCATTCAAAAACAGCCAAACCTTTATATAACACTAAGCTGCATCTCCTTCAACGGTTCTCTGCCCATCAATTATACTTTCTTTAAAAAGGGCATCGCCCTGTCACCAGTTATTTCCAAGCACGTAAGGGAGCCTGCTGAATTTGATTTAACCAAGAGCAACACCAGAGAAGGGGAAGAGTATAGTTGTGAAGCTAAAAACAGCCTGCCTGACTATGCAAGACGCAGTCATCCCGCCACTGTGCCTTCAACAAGTAAGGACTACCTGAGCTCTTTCAACAGGGTCTGGATTTGCTTCCAGAAACTTCTCCTGCCAGTTCACTTCCCACTTTGGCCACCTGCTTCCAAGTGCTTTTCCTTTGGTAGGGTCCATACAAACTGATGGGATTGCTTTCTGCCATAAAAACAAAACAAAACAAAACAAAAAGTCATAGAAAAGCCTAGACACTGTGGCAGGAAGAGACTTTGCAATGAGACTTTCTGACTGGACCCTGCTTCCTGCCTCGACCTTCCACTTTCTGGGTTCTGAGCAATCACACTAGAATCTGCATCTCTCTTGGAGCCGCCAGGTCTCTTTTGCTTTTTCGGTGACTTCTAATGCCTACTTGGCTGTTTATTGCCCCACTGCTAACAGTTGGTGAGTCTAGACTTTCAGGGTGACTCTTGGGGCAAGAGGGGCCCCTGTCCCTTTCCTGGGTTTTGGAGGGTACTGCTCTGGTGTATCTTGGCCATGCACATTCCCACAGGCTGAGGAGTCCAGGGGGCCATGGGAATATGCCCACCTGGACCCTGTATCCCCACTTTTTTACACCACACTCTTGGTACCTGTGTCCAAATTCCCTACCCAATCAGATCAGAACCCACCCACGGGGCCCGGGCAAGTCTCTTTCCCAGTTCATCCTCCCAAGGGTGGACCACAGTGCGGATTCCTGAACCCAAGCTAAGGGAGCTGTTTGTGGGGGGTGTAAATGGCATTTGGACATGCAGGCTAGGGTCCACATGCATGCAAGGCCCCTCAGGGTGCAGGTCAGAGCCTGGGTGGAAAGGGGGGTCAGGCTGGAACTGGGGCTGGCTCTCACCTATGCTGCCCCATGTTCCAGTACAGAACTCCAAAAAGCCTGCGAATTCTAGTTTCAAACCTGGCCAAAAGGTAGGTTAGCAAAGGCAATAGGCACACTTGGCAGTAGCACTCCACCCGGCCTCATCCTCAGAAGAGCCCACACCCTAGCTTTAAGTCCTAAAGAGCGAGGCAGCCTGTGGGAGTCAGACCCCAGGATCAGGCTTTTGCCCACAAATCATAGCCTTCCCGCCTACTAGATGTGTGACCTTAAGAAAATCACTTAACCCTTTCTGAGCCTTATTCTACTCATATGTAAAACGGGAGTGACACTAATAAGACAAATAAGGCAATGCATGTGAAGTGCTTAACACAGTGTCTGACGTGCAGCTAATAATAAATGGTAGCCGTTTGGGTGCCATAAATTATGCCAACATGACTAAGGGCTTTGTCCAATAAATGGCCAGGCCATTCGGAAGCTTATTGTAGCCACATTCTGGTCTGTTAAATGCTGTGTTGTCTCCTTGTGTGACCCCTGTGGAAGATGCAACTTGGTTGTGACTTTAAGAACTTCACTGGGAATTGCAGATGTCCACAGCAGTGCAGGGAGAGGGTGCACAATACATTGGTTACCATGGAAACGATCACTTTTTCCAAACAATTCACAGTCCACCGTCATTAGGAAAGAAAGCTGTGCACTGACCGGTGAATGCCATCTTCCTCCAGGTGGAGACGGCTGTCCACTCTGCCTGCAGCTACTGCTTCCACTGCTGATGCTAATTGTAATCCTACTTCTGGCATTTTGGATTCGACAGAAGTACAAAGCCAGTAAGTTCTATTGAAGCTTTTCCATTGTTTCCCATGGGTTTTGGAGACAGACTGAAGGGGAGGTGAGGAGGAAGGGAAAGGGGAATCAGAAATGGATGTGAAGAAATATAAAGAGAAGAAAAAGCTGAGAAAGGGGAAGGTAAATGGCACAGATTTGCTGTTGTTGTTGATAAGAGCTTTTCTTATCTAGATTGCTCAACGGTGTGGGCCCTAACCCTAACCCTAACCCCTACCCCTAACCCTAACCCTAACCCTAACCCTAACCCTAAACCCTAACCTAGCACACTATTCATAGCCCAAAGGTGGAATAACCCAAGAGCACAACATGGATGGGCCTTGAGGACATTAGGTAACTGACATGAGCTAGTTACAAAAGGACAGATTCTCTAGGACAGCGTTTTTCAACCGCTGTTCCGCGGCACACTAGTGTGCCGCGAGATGTTGCCTGGTGTGCCGTAGGTGCAGACAAGACAAGAATTTTATAATTTTTCACTATTTTGTTTACTTAATATTTCATAATAAAGTAATTATAAAATACTTTCTTTGTGTTTATTTGATTCCTATTCAAGAGAATTACTTTATATATAGTCAATATAGGCACAGAGTTAAATTTTTTTAACATTTTCTAATGGTGGTGTGCCTCGTGATTTTTTTCATGAAACAAGTGTGCCTTTGCCCAAAAAAGGTTGAAAAACACTGCTCTAGGATCCCACTTGTATGAGGTCCTCCCTAGAGTAGACAAGCAGAATGGTAGGGGCCCGGGGCTAGGGGGAGGGAGAGGTGACTGTGAGCTAGTGTTTGAGGGGGCAGAGTTTCGTTTTACAAGATGAGAACAGTGCTGGGGATGGATGGTGGTGATGGTTGCACAACAATGAGAATACTCAGTGCCCCTGAACTGTATACTTAACCTGATTAAGATGGTACATTTTATGGTCATGTATATTTTACCACAATTTAAAAAGTAATTTTCCCTTGGTGGTTAACTGTCGACCTATGAACCAGAAGATCATGGTTCGATTCCCGGTCAGGACATATGACTGGGTTGAGATTTGATCCCCAATAGAGGGTGTGCAGGAGGCAGCCAATTAATGATTCTCTGTCATCATTGATGTTTCTCTCTCTCTCTCTCTCTCTGAAATCAATAAAAATACATATATTTTTATCTCTTAACGGTTTCATGTGACGCCACCAGGTTGAATCCTCCGGGCGGACTGCGGGGACCCCACCCGTTTACCTCTTAATTAATTACTTTTTAAAAATATATAAAAATACATATATTTTTAAAAAGTAATTTTAAAAAGTGAAAAGTATTAAGAATTTCAAGCCAGTGACAGCATGGAGCATTAAACCAAGCGTGGGGCTCTTCTTAGCACAGGCGCTCACTGCCCAAAAAACCTGGCGGGCCAGATCAGACTCCTCTGCGGGCCGCATGTGGCCCGCGGGCCGTAGTTTGAAGACGCCTGCTAGTATAGACTCTTACTAGGACCACAGTTTTCCTTCAATAGACAACAAGGCCATTGGAGCAGCTCATTGTTTGTTTCAGAACTTTGGGGAATTCTGCTCCTTGGCAGAGGAGATCAGAAAAATGTGGCTGAATTGGTTTAATTCAATTAATTTTGCATAATTTACACAGGAAAAGCTATGAGAAATAAAGCACCCAGAGACTATGGAAATACACCCACAGAAGTTGGAATATATGCCAATGTCCATGAAGATCAAGCAGGTAAGATAACTTTTTTGGGTATTTTCATTCGTTTGGTTGGTTGGTTTTCATCTTATTTTTTAAAGGTCATACAGACACACAGGTACAATGTTTCCTTCCCACCCCTGATGCCCAGTCCTACTTTCCAGAGACAACAATCAGTTTTTTAAATCTTTCTACAGATAGTCTATGTGTGTGCTGACTTCTAAACACAGGGCAGAAATAGCAGTGTGTCACAGAGAAGTTATTCTACATCTTGATTTTTTTTCACTAAACAACAGACCTTGGAAATTTTTTAATATCAGTTTGGAATGATCTTCACTGTGCCCCAAATCCCTTTATGATCACTTAAAAAATATTTTTTATTGATTTCAGAAGGGGAGGGAGAGAGATAGATAGAAACATCAAAGATGAGAAAGAATCATTGATTGGCTGCCTTCTGCACGCCCTGCACTGGGGATTGAGCCCATAAACCAGGCACATGCCCCAACCAGGAATCTAACCGTTATCCCTTGTTTCACAGCTCAGTGCTCAACCACTGAGCCATGCCAGTTAGGCACCTTTTTTTAAATTTTTTTTTAATTGATTTAAGGGAGAGGGAGAGAGATAGAAACACTGATTTGCTGCCTCCTGCAGGCCCTCTACTGGGAATCAAGCCCCGAACCGGGCATGTACCCTGACTGGGAATTAAACTGGTGACCTCTTGGTGCATGGGACAATGCTCAACCTATTGAGCCACACTGACTGGGCTATGATCACCTCTTAAAGCAGCCATCACACACGGAGTTATGGTCAACAGACCCACAGCCTTGGCCAACAAGAACAAATCCAGTCCACACTGACTGAGGGCCAGCCGAGTTCCAGGCACAGTGCTAAGCAATTTACTTGCCCTGTCCAACATAAACAGCCCTAACTCCCAATCTATGCCGTTCCCATCTTACAGATAAGGAGTCAGTGCCAGGCGTGGCACCAAGACAGTGTGTTTTCACAGCCCAAGAGGGTAAGCACTCCCTGCAAAGTCCAGAGGCTACATGCCATTGCGAGGGCAGCCAGCTAAGCCACTGCCCTTGAGTGACCAGGGGTTCAGCTCATAGGCCCAATAATTCTGTTTCTTGTCTTTTGCCCAGAAACTGAACATTCTCACGAGATACATTATGCCACCCCCATGTTCCTGGAGGTGATACCAGGTGAGCCATAGTTTGGGATAAGAGATACTGGTGAATGAGACAGTGGTCCCTGTGAGACCACCACATTCCAGGACTTCAGGAGCCCAAAAATGGGGTGGATGGGGACAACACGCACACCCAGGAGACCAAGAGTAACCAGTACCCCGGCTCCTAACAGGGAAGAGGGAACAGTGGGACAGGGGGAGTATCACATAAAACATCGAGAGGAGGATGCAGGAGCATTTCTAAGCCATTTTCAATAATAAATTACTTGAAACAGGTGAAGAAATTAAGAAGTACAAATTGGTAGTTACAAAACAGTCATGGGATGTAAAGTACAGCATAGAGCATATAGACAGTAATATTATAATAACTACGTCCGGTGTCAGGTGGCTACTAGAAATATCGGGAGAACATGATGTAAAGTATATGATTATCTAACCACTGTGCTATATACCTGAACCTAGTACAAAATAATATTGAATGTAAAGTGTAATTGAAAAATAATTTTATTTTTAAATAATAAATTACTTGATATAGTCCAGGAGAAAAGTTAATAGTTGTTTGTCAGTTCACCCTGCTACTAAAATAAAAAATGTTAAGCGACTCTATGGCTATATATTCTAATTTTACTAAATTATTTCTTCTTTTATATTTCAGAAGTGCAAAATGATGATAAAACTAGATGTGTCTATGCTGAACTCAGCTTATGAAATTTAAAGATACAAACTACATCTCAAGGTAAGATAATTTTTACAAAGCTGATTTACATGAAGAAAAGGCACACTTGATTTGACATTTTAAATATGTTTGTATTGATTTCAGAGAGGAAGGGAGAGGGAAAGAGATATAGAAACATCAATGATGAGAGAGAATCGTGGATCAGCTGGAGATTGAACCCACAACCCAGGCATTTGCCCTGACCAGAAATTGAACCATGACCTCTGGTAAATAGGTTGATGTTCAACCACAAAGCCACACTGTTGGTTTTGAGCCTTAACATTGTTGAGCCTTAACCCAAGACCTCTTGGTTCTTGGGTTAAGGCTCAACCACTGAGTCAGTTAAGGCTGGGCTTGACTGACACTAAAATATCTCTCCTGCCCAGCTGGTGTGGCTTAGCAAATGAGCATCCACCTATGAACCAGGAGGTCACAGTCTGATTCCAGTCAGGGCACACGACGGGGTTGTGGGTTCGATCCCCAGTAGGGGGGCATACAGGAGACAGCCAGCCAATCAAGATTCTCTCTCATTGATGTTTCTATCTCTCCCTCTCCTTTCCTCTCTGAAATCATTTTTTTTTTTAATAAGTTTTTATTGTTCATATTATTACAAATGTTCCTTCCCCACCCCCCCACCATTGCTCTCCTCCACCAGGTTCCCACCCCACCCTCTGCCCTTTCCCCTCTCCCCATTGTCCTCATCCATAGGTGCACAGTTTATGTTCAGTCTCTTCCCACGCCCCCCTCTCCCCTTTTCCCCAAGAATCGTCAGTTCACTCCCCTTCCATACCTCTGATTCTATTATATTCAACAGTTAATATTGTTCATCAGATTTTTTAAATTTCCTTGTTTTTTAGATTCACTTGTTGATAGTTACGTATTTGTTGTTCATAATTTTTATCTTTGTTTACTTTCTCTTCTGAAAGAACCCCCTTCAGCAATTCATATAATTCTGGTTTGGTGGTGATGAACTCCTTTAGCTTTTTTTTATTAGTGAAGCTCTTTATCTGGCCTTCGATTCTGAGTGATAGCTTTGCAGGGTAGATTATTTTTGGCTGTAGGTTCTTGCTATTCATCACCTTGAATATTTCTTGCCATTCCCTTCTGGCCTGCATGGTTTCTGTTGAGAAATCAGCTGACAATCGTATAGGTGCTCCTTTATAGGTTACTACCTTCTTTGCTCTTGCTTCTTTTAATATTCTCTCTTTGTCTTTTGCTCTTGGAATTTTAATAATGATGTGTCTCGGTGTGGTCCTCTTTGGATTCCTTTTGTTTGGAGTTCTGTGCGCTTCCTGGACTTGCAAGTCTAATTCTTTGCCCAGGTGGGGGAAGTTTTCTGTCACTATTTCTTTCAGTATGTTTTCGATATCTTGCTCTCTCTCATCTTCTGGGACCCCCATAATTCTGATGTTGGTTCGCTTGAAGTTGTCCCAGAGGTTTCTTACATTATCTTCAATTTTCTGGATTCTCTTGCCTTCTAGCTTCTGTGGAGGAGTGTCTTCTGGCTCTTTATGTTCCAAATCTTTGACTTGATTCTTGTGATCTTCCCTTCTGTTTTTAGGACTCTGTAAAATATTTTTTATTTCAGACAATATATTCTTTATTTCTTGTTGACTCCTTATTAATTCTAGTTGATCTCTTTTCATGTCCTCATAGGTCTTATCCATTTTTTCTAGGAAATTCTTGAAAAACCTTATAAGCGTAGATTTGAACTCTATATCCAGACGCTTTTTGTCCTCCATTTCTTTCGTTTGTGATCTATTTTGTTGTCGCATTTCGCAGTTACAGATGGGACGGGGTTTCAGGGTGGAGCCTGCAGCTTTGGCTTCCGTCAGCCCCGCCCTATGCGGGTCCTTCTGTGCTCGCTGCCGGTGCCTCTGAGAGAAAGGTGCCCTCGATTTTCGCCTGCTGCCAAACAGTCTATGCTCTCCCCCAATGAGCCCGGTGTTGGGGTTCAGTTCAGTTGGAAGTGGAGTTGGAGGTGGCGTTCGGAGCAGTCTGGAGCCCCAGTCTCCTTCCCGTCAGGGCAATCCCGCGGCACAGCCGACCGTCCCTTCTCTGCGCACAGTGTGAGCGCCTCCGGGACCTCCTTTCGCCTCTCCCCGGGGTTCCGCCTTACAGCCCAGCTCCCTATGGCTGAGCCTGAGTCCCCGGGGTCTGGCCTAAAACTGGGGTTCAGAGCAGTCGGGGGCCCAGCACAGTCGGAGTTTTATCTCCTTTCCGCTAGGGAACGCCCGCCAGGCACTCTGCCTCCCTCCTCTCCGACTCTGTCCTCTCCACGCGCTGCGTCTCCGTACCTTGGGCTTTTCCAGCTCCTCCCCGCCTCCTTCTGGTTTTCTCCTTGCTTCTCACTGTAGAATTTCCAGTCAGTCAACCTTCCTGTAGTTCTGGGCAATGTCCGTTTTATATTTTAGTTGTATTTTATTGAAATTGTTGTGTGCGGCTGCGGCTAGGTGTTCACCTGGGCGCAGCCATCTTGGATCCCCTGAAATCATTTTTTTTTTAAATGTCTCTCCTGGAGTATTATGCTAAGTGAAATAAGTCAGTCAGAGAAAGATAAGTATCCCATGATTTCACTCATAAGTGGCATTTCAGTAACAAAATAAACTGAGGAATGGAGTGGATCCAGAGGCTCCAAGCCTGGAACAGAGTGCGGAATCTCGGAGGGAAAGTGGGGGAGGGAAGTGGATGGGAGGTAATCAACCAAGGACCCTGTATGCATATAGGCATGCCCCATGGACACACACACACAAGTCTCTCGTGGTTACCTACAGTGAATCACTGATTTTTGTGATTAAACGCTCTCCCTTTGGCACATTCAGGCACTGCCAATCCTGTCATCAGACCACAGCTTTGTCAGGTGGGATCCTGACTGGTGACAGTTCTTAAATGCTTTTGCTATTTTAGGCATGAACTGTTCTCCCCATTTTCACGTCACTTAACTGTTAGGCCACTGTGCTTTTCATAAATGCATCCTGAAAACATTATGGCCATCTTTCTGGTTTCCCTGGCCATGTGCTCAATAAAGGTTCAAAGCAAAAACACAAAGGTCTAAATTCTAAAACAAAAAAACGGTGACCTTGAAAAGGTGTCTAAAGAAAACAGTGAGAGGCAGGCCAGATTACTCAACAAGTACGCGCTTGTTACTCATTGCCATTGAAATCTGTTCTCAAATCTTCAGAGGCTGCAAAAATAATAATTTATTTATTGATATTTATTATTTTTTAATTTATTTCAAAGAGAGAGAGAGAAACATCAATGATGAGAGAGAATCATTTATTAGCTGCCTCCTGCCTGCTCCCTACTGGGGATTGAGCCCCCATCCGGGCATATGCCCTGACTAATCGAACCAGTGACTTCTTGGTTCTTGGGTTAAGGCTCAACCCCTGAGCTACACCCAGCTGGGCTGCAAAAATATTTATATTTATTTTTCAGTGATTTTCTCAGTCCTCAAGACTGAGCTAATGTCAAAGGCATGACTAATAAGTGTTGCATATCCGATCAGTGTTCTGTGGAGAGAACAGCACAGAGTTGAGTTGGTGGAGAAGAGAGAATGGATTACTTTCCTAGGACTGTGGTAACAAATTATCATTATCTGGTGAATTAAAACAGAAAATTTTTTCTCACAGTTCTGGAGGCTAGAAATCCAAAACCAAGGTGTCCACAGGCCCACACACCCTCCAAAGGCACTATGGGAGAATCCTGCCTGCCCCTCCGTTTCCGGTGGTTCTTGGTTCGCAGCAGCATCACTCCAATCTCTACCTCTGTCTTCATGTGGCCTCCCCTTCCTCTGACATTCTCTTATAGGAAAACTGGTCACAAGATTTAGGAACTGGCCGAAACCGTTTTGGCTCAGTGGTAGAGCATCGATCTGCGGACTGAAAGGTCCCAGGTTCGATTCCAGTCAGGGGCATGTACCTTGGTTGCGGGCACATCCCCGGTAGGGGTGTGCAGGAGGCAGCTGGTTGATGTTTCTCTCTCATAGACACTTCTAGCTCTCTCGCTCTCTCCCTTCCTCTCTGTAAAAAATCAATAAAAATATATTTAAAAAAATAAATTTAGGAACCGCCTGGATAATCCAGAATGACCTCATTTTAAAATCCTTAACCTAATTTCATCTGCAAACACTCTTTTTCCAAATAAGGTGACATTCACAGGCTCCAGGAGTTAGGACTTGGACTATGTTTTTTGGGGGGAGTCTATTCAGCCCACTACAGGGGACAAATGAGAGAAAAACAACACCTATGTCATGGAGCACCTATGAGAGTTAATTCAGGCTTCTTCACTTCTTAACCTGAGCTCCTTGCTGAAGCAGACCTGAGACAAGACTTGGGTGCAAGTTGTTTATATGGGAGGTGATCCCAGGGAGCAGGAGAGTCCAGGGAGAGTGAAACAGGGAAGGAAAAGAAGCCAACACAAAGGGTAGGGAAGGGCTACATCTACACAATGGAATACTACGCCACTATAAAAAAAGAAGGAACTTTTACCATTTGCAACAGTGAAATAAGCCAGTCGGAGAAAGATAAATATCACATGATCTCTCATATGTGGGATATAATGACCAACATAATTTGATGAACAAAAATAGATCCAGAGACATATTGCAGGGAGGTGTGGGGGGAGGGTAGAGAGCAGCCAAAGGACTTGTATGCCTGCATATTGGCATAACCAATGGACACAAACACTGGGGTGGTGGGGACTTGCCAGGATGGGAATGGCTGGGGTGGGGGGTGGGGGTGTCAATTGGGGGAAAAAGGAGACATATGTAAAACTTTAGACAATAATTATTTTTAAAAAAAGAGTAGGGAGGAGCTAGCAAATGAGTGACCATTCTGGTCATTAGATTTGGTCCTATTTAGACCTCCCAAGGTCTTGAAGTGCAGAATGCTGCTGAGTTGCACAACTTACCCTCAAACTATCCATAGCTTCTCATTTTCTCCTTGCAAAGCTTCTGAAGTGGTTAGTAAAGCCAACCAACACCACCATCCATATAATTACCATTGCCCTGTGTCTTCCAAGTGCTAGAACTATTGCTTAACCTAGTGCTCACTGCCTCTGCAGTGGAAAGTCTGACTAAGTGTGAAGCTCTAGTGTGTAAGGGTAATCACCACTCCCTTTACTTCCATCCAGGAAGTAATTCCCTTTCTCAGGGCTGCTTTCTAGAACCTTCTAATACCCCATCTTATCCTGGGCTAGCCCTGAAAGCAGAGCCTGAGATAAGATCTTCTGGGCAAGCCCTGGCCAGTGTTGCTCAGTTGGTTAAGCATTGTCCCAAAGATTAAGAGATTGCTGGTTCAATTCCCAGTCAGGCACCCAGGTTGCGGGTTCGATCCTTGATAGGGGGTGTGCAGGAGGCAGCTAATCGACGTTTCCCTCTCCTATCAATGTTTCTTCTCCCTTCCTTGATCGCTAAAAATCAATAAAAATATTTTTTTAAAAAGATCTTTCAGGCAAATAATTTATTTGTGAGGAAACAGGCATGAGGCACTGGAGAAAAAGCCAGTCCAAGGCTGTATTGCTGTGTTGAGCACTGCTGTGGGCCACTGGGGCTGGATCCCATGGGACCTGCTGAGGAATGAGAAAGGTGCCTCTCAGAACTGTCCACTTGAGGAAATTGTGAGAATCATGTGTCCAGGAGGTGAGGAACCGCCCCCCACACCCCAGCCCGACTTCTGGGCTATGCCTGTGGGCATTCCAAGCAGTCTCCCAGCAGTGTCTCACCCAGGACACGGGCAAGCCCCAGGGCAGAAAGTGAGTGGTATGTGTTGTACACTTGAAGCATGAAACTGTCAACACAAAGTGAGTGAAGTCGCAGATGCAGCTGGAGTCAGAGGTGAGGCCCAGAGGATGTGACACGGGGCACCGAGGGGGCTGGGATGCCATCTCTCGATGTTTCCTTTGTAACAACTATAAGGACAATAACTATCAAGTGTTGAGCACGTAGCAGGTTCCAGGTACTTCAGTGCTTCGTGTACCTATCCTCATGTAGTCCTCAAAAGCCCCTTCTCCCCCAGCTCCGCCTCAGCCCTGCACAGACGTCAGCCACCCTTGCCATGTGCCACACACCATGGCTTCTGGATTGAATTGTGTAGGAAGGGAAAAAGAAGAGGAAGAGGAGAACCTACTGGATTTTCATTTCAGTATCTACTTTTTTTCATGTCTAGAAGTTTCACTTTGATTCTTTTTCAAATCCACCAATTCTTTCAATATTTTTTTGTTGTGAAATACAGCACACATTATATGGAGATGAATAAAAAATATATATATATATATATATTATATATATACGCAGTTTGATGTCACCAGCAGTCTAGAAACCCTTGGCAGGTCTCTTCCCAATCACAACCGCACCTCCCCAACTTAACTACTACTATTTAATTGGATATTTAGGTGGTTGTGAGTTTGGGGCTAGTACAAATAATGGGGCTATGCCTGGCTGGCGTGGCTCAGTGGTGGAGAGTTGACCTGTGAGTCGGTTTGGCTCAGTGGATAGAGCACCGGCCTGCATACCAAAGGGTCCTGGGTTTGATTCCAGTCACATACTGTGGTTGCAGGCTCCTCTCCAACCCTGCCCTGGTGAGGCACGTGCAGGAGGTGTTTCTCTCACATCGATATTTCTCTCTGTCTTTCCCTCTCTCTTCAATTCTCTCTAAAAATTAATGGAAAAATATCCTTAGGTGAGAATTAAAAAAGAAAGAAAAAGAAAACATTAATGTGAATCCATGATGAGTTTTTTAATTTGTGGGGAAATACACATACACACAGATATGTTTGCTATAATAGCTCTAAACCAGCGTTTTTCAACCGCTGTTCCGCGGCACACTATGTTGCCTGGTGTGCCGTAGGTGCAGACAAGACAAGAATTTTATAATTTTTCACTATTTTGTTTACTTAATATTTCATAATAAAGTAATTATAAAATACTTTCTTTGTGTTTATTTGATTCCTATTCAAGAGAATTACTTTATATATAGTCAATATAGGCACAGAGTTAAATTTTTTAACATTTTCTAATGGTGGTGTGCCTCGTGATTTTTTTCATGAAACAAGTGTGCCTTTGCCCAAAAAAGGTTGAAAAACACTGCTCTAAACACTGAAAAGACGTCCAATTTAGCATCCAAAAGATTAACTTTAAAGGGGATGAATCCAATATTTATCCCAAACCTTTTCCACACCACTAAGCAAACAGTAGATGAAACATTTTCCTTTATAGAATTACTAGAAGCCAATGCACAAGATTCATGCACTTGGAGGGTCCCTCAGCCCGGCCTGCGCCCTCTCTCAGGCCGGGAGCCCTCAGAGGATGTCTGACTGACGCTCCCCTTAGCGCTGCCCCAAAAGCAGAAGAGGCTCCTGCCACCACTGCTGCACTAGTCAACTGACTACCAGGGGGCAGCTCCTGCGTTGAGTGTATGCCCTCTGGTGGTCAGTGCACGTCAGAGCGACCTGTCCTTTCAACCGATTTGCGTATTAGCCTTTTATTATATAAGGTAGAATTCTAGCTAACAAAAGAAGACAGAATCAGAATATCACCACTTTGCCATCTAAAGAACTGACTGATCTATGTATTGATCAATGACTGCTGGCATCCCCTCAAAAGAAACAAACAGACATTACTAACGCCTAATGGGAAAATACAACCTAATTAATCTGGCTACAAAAATTGCACTTAAAAGATGATCAAGCCTCTGGTTTCAATTTCCAATCTAGAGGAACAGGTTAAATAAACTATATCCTGAGGATGTAATAAAATCCAAACAGTAAAAAACCCGATAATAATTCAATTCTGAGAGAGAGAATGAACCTGTAGGATGAGAGCTAACAACCAATTTTAATAAATTAATATGACACCCAAATTAAAAAACACAAATATTTATTAAACCAATATTGAAATTTATACATTCTTAGCTGATGATATATACTTGGTTAAAAAGTCTTTTACTTTGGATATATGCATCATTTCCTTCATAGTGGTGTCTCTACTTCTCAGATGTATTAATCCATTCTCCAAAGTAGCATCAGTAATCAAAACTGTGAAGAGGATACTCATTTCATCATATCTAAGAAAAAAGGTAGTTAAACAAAATACATGCACACATACATAAATTGTAAATGCACCACATTAGCAGCTTTAATTACTTTAGAACCCATGCCACTTTCAGAGACATGAAATTCAAAGCAGGGCTGCAGGGCTAGACCAAAACCACTTTTTTCAAGTTTCTGAATCGTATTTTAAGTAAAATTTTCAGAAAGTTTCTGACTCATTGTAATAGCTGAAAAGTCATAAAAAGAAAATAAAGTCTGAAATAATAAAAATATCATTTGGGGTGATATTATGGGTGAACCTCAGAATAACCTCCACCTTTTGGCACTTTAATGCAGTCCAAGAAAATTATTTTAGATGAAAGTCTCTTATAATGCTACCATAATAAAAGTCCAGTGCACAATATAGCATACCAAAATCATGCTTGATATGTAACTTTGTAGGCCAACAGCTTTTTAGTCAGTCACACTATCTCACTGTTTCTTTGTTTTGTTGAACTCTTATCAACATTATCTTACTTATCTATTTATTTGTTTAGTGTCTATTTATCCCACTAGCTGCATAAGCTGCATAAGGACAGGAAACTTTCCTGACTTTTTTACTGCTATATCAAAGTACAGAAAACACAATAGGTGCTTAATAAATATTTGGATAAAAATACCCTAAATCAATAGAACCTTTACTGTATCAAGAACAACTATAACTAACCTGATAACGTCCATATGACTCAAAGGATATAATTCTAGAATGGAGAGGACTGGAAAGTTTAAATACCATCCCTTCATTTTGGTTTATCTTACCCATAGCAACCTACTTTTCTTTTTACATCATCTGAAAGGTGTATTTTAACCAGTTATTAGAGAACCAAAGAGCAAAACACAAAGTTTGACAACTTTTCACCCAAAAGATAATGTATTCAACACAAAAAGCTACATAAAATAACAAAATAAACCCAGAGAGAAGAATGAATTCCTTTATTTAAAAAACAGAAGTTTTAAAATTAGAGACAGGAAGGTCAATTAGGAGATTACTTCAATAATCCAGGCAAGAGATATTGGTGACCTTCACTTGGTTAGTAGCAGTGAAGATGGAGAGATGTGCATTTGAAATGTATTTAAGAAGCAGGGACAACATTTTATGATAAAATGAATGTGGAGAATAAGGAAGAGGGGGGAGCTAAAAATAACACCCAACTTTTAATCTTGAGCGACCAGGTAAACAGAGGTGCCAATCACTGAGGAGACTAGTTTTCTGTCCTCTGGGTTGGAATTATTTTCCGTTAGGCCTCAAAATAAACACCAGTAAGGAAAAGGCATTCGATTCAAAAATGCATCCAATTACATAATTCAAATCCTGATAAATCAATAAACTCAGGCATACGTACTTCATGACATTAAGTCTTGAAGATACACATAGCATGTACTCAAGTATGCCTGATGAAGAGTGTTTCCTATGGGCATGTGGTTCTGTAAATGGAAAAATTAGGAATACTTTCAAGTTACATTATATAAAGATATATTTAGAAGGGAGATCTGTTACTCATAAAATAAAAAAGGAATACAAAAAAAAAAAAAAAACCCTCTAAAAAAATACTGTTTTATCGAAAGGAAGGCAATTCTTACTTTGAATAAAGTTGTTCCAATGAGGATTGTGCAGTTTCCAAATAACCAGGCCACACAGAAATTCCACTTTCTAGTAATTCATTAAACAGCCCTTGACAAACCTGGAAAAAATAATTTCAAACATGAAAGAAATAAAAGTAGCTAGAGTGAATACTCTTATTTTTTTTGAAACCACAAGTTACCTTTTTCAATCTTAAAAATGGGCATAAATTCCCTTAATTATGTGATAATATTGCTTATAATTTATATATTGTACACTTAAAAATTGTATACTTTCTCTGAAAATAAAGAAATTAAGCTCTGCAAATCTGAATATTAAATGCAAGTCTTCTGCCGAAACCGGTTTGGCTCAATGGATAGAACGTCGGCTTGGGGACTAAAGGGTCCCGGGTTCGATTCCGGTCAAGGGCATGTACCTTGGTTGCGGGCATATCCCCAGTAGGGGGTGTGCAAGAGGCAGCTGATCGATGACTCTCTCTCATCGATGTTTCTAACTCTCTATCTCTCTCCCTTCCTCTCTGTACAAAATCAATAAAATATATATTTAAAATAAAAATAAAAAAATAAATGCAAGTCTTCTGAGAGAAAATTTTATAACAAATATAAGAATTTTTATCATCATTATAATTCAAAACACAAATAAACCCAAAATAGGTTTTATCAGAGAAAAACAAGTATTATACAAAGGGCTATCTATGTCCACTCTAAACTCAAGTTGAGAAACTGAGCCTGAAGGTTTTACTACCATATCAGGAAGAGAAGAGCCAGGAAAGGAAACTACGGAGAAGCCACCAGACAAGTATGAGGACAACTTCGAGAGTAGTATTCTTGGAGCAAACTAAAGAAAATGCCTCGAAAAGAAGAAGATTAGTTACAGTGGAACGCTGAAGACAAAAGCCTGACTGGAAATACAGACGTAATAATGAGTCAATGACATAGTAAATTTACTGTTCTTAACAAGCAATGGTGGAGCAAAATGAAGTAAAATTTTAAACGCCCCTGCCCTGGCCAATGTTTTTTAGTGGTTGGAGCATCGGCCAACCACCCAAAGGTCTCTGTTCCATTTCTGGTCAAAGGCATATATCTGGGTTGTGGGTTCAGGAGGCAACCAGTCAATGTGTCTCTCTCACATCAATGTTTCTCTCTTTCTTCCTCTCCCTCTCTCCCTCCTTCCCTTCCTCTATCCCTTTCCTCAACCCAGAAAAAACAATGGAAAAAATATCCTCCAGTGAGGATTAACAATAACAACAAAAGTGGTTTGTTTTGTAAACACCCTTAACAATCTAGAGCTAAAACATTAGAGTAGAATTTCTCCCCTTTGGCTCTGCTGACATAATATGTTTAGAAGCATCCCTGGCCTCCACTAGATCAACTCCAGTAGCACCCCTTCTTCACTGTGACAACCAAAAGTGTCCTACTTAAAGAAGAATAATTTTTTTTTACAAGAAGATGAATCAAAATAAAATTCTAAATGGCAAACTCCTCATTTACTTGAAATAATGGTTATAATTAAAATCATGATATCAGAACTCATTTAACCCACCTGTCTTAGTTCCACTGTTGGGCCTTTTCCCATATCCAAAGCAACCTTAATAGGAGCCAGACAAGGGTGAAGCTTAAGTACCTAAAGCAAATGAAAGGGGTGGGAGAATACATCTTACGTAAGTAAAATACAACCACTAACAAACATGGGCTTCTTAAACAGTAAAATTTTCTGTGTGAAAATGGAAGCTAGCTGGGGCCATACAAAATCCTGTAACGATGTCTTCAGTTGTGTATACCCAGCTGCTCATGGATTTCTC